ATAATTAATTCAGTTTGCTTGGTGCTTCTTTCAACTAGAGAAATAAACCAGGCTAAACTGGCGGACCGCCTGGAGATGGTAAGGACATGCTCCAGTCGCCGGCCGAAAATCACCGGATGGGGTTTAAACTGCGCAAGTGTTCTTCGCCTGGAGATCGACTATGAAACGGAAAAAAAAATGCTTATCCAACCGCCCGCCGGCGAGAGAGCGGTTACTCTATATGACGGATGTGCGCACGCGTTACTCGGAGAGCGCTCGACTCTGAAATAAGAACGAAGAATTTCGGGAAAGCTCCCGCCAGCGGGAGGCTGGCGATCCACTATGAATATGGCCGTGAGATTGTAAAATAAATTTTGCATTATCGACTTAGATATTCTAATATTATAGCCGGTGAGACTATAAAATACAAAATTATATATACATTATTCAAAAATAAACGATATATTAGTTAAAGTCCTTTTAAATATTTTGTATCGTCTAGGTACAAGCTAATTTCTGATGCTACACCATTGGAGAATTTCGAGTGGTGACAAGTGGCCTCACTTTCAGCTGCCGTCTTACCTGTCCCCTCTCTTTCCTTGTCTAATAACATTGACGAAAAAAGTATATATTTTATTAGTATTATTAATTTTGTAGTATTAAATCCCAATAAAACCGTTTCTGCATGAACATAACGCTTTTATTACATTATTATCAGATCTTTTTTCATATAATAAACAATTAAATAAATATTGCAACGTGTTTCGGTCTCGTTCTCGGCTGAGAATTTCTTTTTCTCTCGGTCTCGGCCGAGACTAAAAATCCTGGTTCGGTCGGACCTTAATACCCTATATATTCCCAGGACAATCATTCAGGTCCGAAACGACATCAAATCCTCCAAACAAAACAGAATACACGTAGAATGTACGCTGTCGTCCGGCTAAATTTATTTATCTCAATAATGCAATTGCAACTTGTCTCTATCCGTACCTTTGCTCCGTAACTTTGCTTGCATTGTTCCGTTTTAAAATCCAGGGGCATCTGGATAACGTTCTATGCCGTCTCTATCCATTTGCATAATGAATGTTTACAAGGCCCTCCTTTCGACTTGGAGTTGTAAATTAATTAGCTATGATATATCTACGTCCTAATAAAGTTATTGCTGGTATACACGACCCGCATAACATCACAAGTTTATCTTGGAAAGTGGAATTGTACCTGCATCGGAATTTCATAATAGTTAATTTATACATTGTAGTTAGTTATTTAGTATCGTAGTTTAAAGACATTTCTTTAATAGTTTTCATTAGCAAGTAGCTTAATGCTTGCGACAAAATCTAGTAATTTTGTTATGTATAAAATAAAAGGTATATTTTTTATAGTCACGGTGGCCAACTAAAGTACAATACGATCGAAAATGAAAAACCGCCAATGGGGAATGCAATCGACTGTCATTTCCAAGGCAAGTTGTTTCGATCATAATGAATATTTAACGAATTTATATCTTTCTTCTGAGTTGTAGTAATGAAATAATATTATATACTAGATGCGTTTCGAAAGTGGCTCACCCCTGTAACTTTTTGATTTTTTTTTAATAAAAAAACGGAATTTGGTGTGTTAGTATATGACATGAAATAGCATTGATTCATGAACTCAATTGTTTTTGGTCACTTCCGGTTTCACCGGAAATGAGTACAACTTATGATTTTTAAATGGCATACACAGGGTGTCATTGAAATAGTGTAAAAAAAATCGGGGGGTGATAGTACTCATAAAAATAGTAAAAAAAGTGCCTATAAGTATAGGGCGGAAAATGCATATTAAGGGTGTTAAGGGCACTGAAAGGGTGAATTTAAAAAACGGTTGTTTAGAAAGTGTAGGCTTAAAAAACGAGATAAAATTTCGAAAAAAAATCCTCTGCCATAAATTTTGGCCCTAAATCAAATGGTGATACTTAAAAATTATTTGGAAAAGCGGAAAGGGTAGTTTTTGCAAGGGTGGGGGGGTTGTTTCGTGAATAACTTTTTTGAGGTTATTTTTTTTGCAACGTGGGTTCATTTTTTGAAAACTACATACTTTTTCCTACAAAAAGGTACTCTTGTTGCACATCGCCCAGAGCGATGGTTTTCGAGAAAATTGAAGGAAAAGAGTTCGCTCTGATGGGTACCTAACTGGTTAATCAACATAAACTTATGAAAGTTATGGCGGTTAAAAGTAACCAAATAATTATCAAATAATTAATTGAAAAATCAAAATTTCATGATTTTTAAAACATCTTATTGCTTTGAAAAACGAAATAATCCAATTACCAAAATTCCTTATTAAAATAACGCATTCCTTAATTCATTCATAGTAAATGTTCAAAGTGACCACAATTCATTTCAATGCAGATATCTGATCTTCTTCTCCACCATCTGCGTACCCTGTGGAATATTCTTGGTATTGTCCGAATTTGATAGGAACAGTCAATAATGCGTTGCCGTAGTTGCTCTTCAGTATTCTGAGTAAACCAAATTTTTTTAAAGCCAAAAAAGTTTATTTCGTTTTTAAATCAATAAGATGTTTTAAATATCACGAAATTTATGATTTTCCAATTAATTATTTAATAACTACATGGTTACTTTTGAACCGCCATAACTTTCATAAATTTATATTGATTAACCAGTTAGCAACCCGTCAGGGCAAACTCTTTGTATTCAATTTTCTCGAAAACTATCGCTCTGGGCGATGTGCAACAAGAATAAGTACCTTTTTTGTAGGAAAAAGTACGTAGTTTTCAAAAAATAAACCCACGTTGCAAAAAAAGTAACCTCAAAAAAGTTATTCGCGAAACAAACCCCTACCCTTGCAAAAACTACCCTTTCCGCTTTTCCAAATAATATTTCAGTATCATCGTTTGATTTAGGGTCAAAATTAGTGGCAGAAGATTTTTTTATCTCGTTTTTTAAGCCTACAATTGCAAAACAACCGTTTTTTAAATTCACCCTTTCAGTGCCCCTAACTCGCTTAATATGCATTTTCCACCCTATACTTATAGGAACTTTTTTACTATTTTTAGAAGTAATATCACCCCCAATTTTTTACACTATTTCAATGACACCCTGTATGTATATTAGTATATTTTTATTTTATTCCTAGACACTCTGAATAGAATGACATCATATGTCAACTTTTGACATTTTTGCTTAAAAAAATCGTAGTTTAAATTTCAATCTAGAGTGCTATGGCTATGTTAAAAACACTAATTTTTAATCAGGGAGCCTTGGAAAAATAGATTTAATCGTCTAATGTTTTTTGCCTTGTCCTTGCCGGTTAAAAGATGCCCAAATCGTATTTTTAATCATATCTCAATTTTTTCAAATGAAACAAGGGTGTCTCATAGCATATTTGGAAAAAATTAATAATTTGATGCCACACACTTATTTATAGTTATATTTTGGCTAAATACATAGACTTTAATAAAATTAAAAATCTGACAGAAACTTGAAAAATTAACTCCCATAACAAGTAAACATCAAGAAATTTTCCTTAGATTAATTATCAATATATCATATAATTAATAAAGAAACTAATGGTGGATTCAAAAAGTTTTAAAGCCGGTTCAAA